AGGGAAGTTCACTTGCAATCCAAACAGCCGGACTTCGCGGCGTCTCGGCAGCTGATTGCACGTTCCACGATTATTCGACGTTCTTTTCCCTGAGTTACGTGGTGGCCAGAAAAGGGCCCTGAGGGCCTCGTCGAGCCTGCCTTCACTTAGGGCGGCCGACGGGCTGCAAGAATGGGGCCTTATGGGGCTCATAGAGGCAAAGGCCTCGCAAAAGGAATAATAATAATAATAATGATAATAATTTAAAAAAAGCAAATAAATAAAAGTGAAAGAGATACCCTCTCAGACCCGCATCGGAGTTCCGGATTGAAATCGGTGCGAACGTTGTCAACATAGAACCTCAGATTTTCAAGTTTAAATGTGAACCTCTTGAAACACACAAATTAACCGGCTGAAGTTATGATAGAATGGTTTCCTGTGCTCCACTGCATCTGATTACCATTCTCAGGGCCAAGAGCTCCGGTTAGCTGCAGCCCAAAGTGAGGGCACCGTAGGGCGAACAACTTGGGCGAATCCAGCCCTTGTCTAAGAGGTCATCGAGTTGTGTGCGAAGAACCTCGAGTTCCTCTTCGCTCATCCGGTAAATACATCCGCACAGAGGGACGACACCGTTCTCAAGAGTGATCCCGTGACGTATGGGCCGATCCGGGACCGTTCCGGCGGGAGCTGCAAAGACGTTTCCATAACTGTCTAAGAGTTGGAGGATACGTGGGTCTGGTGGCGATGTCTTTGGTCCGTCCGTCGGAGGGATCGCATGCAAGAAGCATATTCCCATCTCCTCGACGTCGTTCCGAGTAATAGCATCGCGAATCCTTGCCGCAAAGACCACATGGCAACCAATTGAAGTGTGAGGGGGCGGGACCGTACACCGGACTAACTCACCGTTCCGATCACGAATGTGAACGGTGCGGTTGTGGAAGTTCACCGAGTGGTCGGCGCTACGCAAGCAAGACATGCCTAGAATATGTCGAACTTGGTGTCGAGGATGTCAAAAGACACCGGCTCGCACGCAAGTGGCCCAAAGTAAACTGGGACGCCGTCAACGCATCGGTCAATTGACTTTTGCGTGTGTCCGTCCGCGAGTGTTACATGTGTTGGCTGCATTTTCCTTCGAACGCGGGGGCCGAGGACAGAGCGGGCCATAAAAGCTTGGCTTATATAGTTGCGAGACGCTCCGCAATCAATCGAGGCACTCCAGGTTGCCTTTTCGATTTGAATGCGGATATAGAGAAGGGGTGCGTCAGTTTCGACGTACGGTTGGAAGGCGTGCTCGCGGTCGATGTTCGCAAGATAGGTGTGAATATCGACAACCACTACTCCGTCGTCCGTCAACGAAGCTGGTACTGCAGCATGCAAGTAAGCGCGTAGGTTGACCATTAAGGCATTGCAATGTGGCTTGGGCAAGGATCCGGTCGAGGGAAGAGGCAACCATTGGAAGTCCTCTATCGTTAGCGGGTCGAGATCCTCAAGTCTTGACCATGCCGACGAGTTCTCGGCGTATGTAGGCAAAAAGACCGGCTCATTTGTTGACGGTGTGCAAGTTGCGCATACGCTGCACGTGACTAGGCTGGTTCAACGGTGGGACCAGCTGGACTGCATAATCCTCGTAAGTGACACGAGAATCATCGACTACCACATGTTCCCCGGAGATGAATTTGGTTGCTAGCAAGGCAACCGTTTCGGACGGAGTGGGAAGAGTCGTCGCTGCACTCCTTGCGGTGCTCAGCTTCCCGAGCTGTTTGAATGAGGCACACTAGCTTTGCCGTTGTCCGTGCATTGGGCGGTCGCGTGTTTGACGCTGTTGCAAGTAGTTGTACTTCAGGCGGAGGTGATAAACCTCCTCGCTAATGTGATACTGCGTCCAGGGTTGCTGTCCAGCTCCTTCCGACGCCTGGGAATTTGCCTTCTTCTTCCGAGCTCGTGTGCGTCGAGGAGGGATCGCTGCTACAACATCTCCTTCACCAGAGGCTGCTGCAGCAGCGTGGTCTCCTTGTGATCCACGTAGGATCACATTGGCATTGTGCTGCTGAAATCCTGGCTTTGCCACATAGGCCGACTGCTGCTCGCGACTTTCATTGGCCGCCCGCCAGTCCGTTTGTATGAGAATGTTCGCTCTTGATATGACTGCGTCGAAGGTCTCGTACTGCAGCTCGTTGCTGAGAGCCGTGGTCAACCCGTCGCACAACCGAGAGAAGAACTCAGATCTCAAATCCTCGAGATCGACGTTGAATTTCGGAGTGGCAACAAATTTCTGCCACTTCCTCAACCATTCCCGGGTAGGCATCGTGCCTTGGCTGCAATGGTAGAGTTCGTTCATGACCGTCTTTCTCACGTTTCGGACCATGAACCGCGTCTGCCACAGCTGCTCAAACTCTTCCCATGTAATCTTGGTGTGCAGTGTTGCGATCGTACAAGCCTTTTGCAGTGCCAAATTGTTCATGAAGGTGTGGCTGCCGCCAATCAGCTGGAGGTACAGCGCGTTGAGGCGCTGATCGTCGGGAACGCGATGCACGCCCACCTCCGTATTGAATGCAGTCCACGAAGCCAATGCGTCGGTCTTTTGATAATCGTCAAATTTGGCTACGTTGAACTTGGGCATCTTGTACGCCTTGCCGCTGTCCGGTCTTGACTTCAGCTGACCCAGCTCGGCTTTGAGTGTCGTCACTTAGCTGCTGAGCGTCGTTGGGGCCTCGAACTGGTCCACCTCACCAATCAGGCTGATGATGTGATCAATGCGCTGAGTGGTGGTGGCGGCGGTACTTTCGATCGCTGCTACATGTGGGCCCCATTGCTGGCCAGCTGATGATGAACCGATTGGTGCCGCTGCTGGTGCACGGGCCTGTGCTTCAACCGTACCCAGCCGTACAGCAAGTGAGTCGTTGACTTGTTTTGCTGTGTGCTGCTGGTGCACGGGCCTGTGCTTCAACCGTACCCAGCCGTACAGCAAGTGAGTCGTTGACTTGTTTTGCTGTGTGCTGCTGGTGCACGGGCCTGTGCTTCAACCGTACCCAGCCGTACAGCAAGTGAGTCGTTGACTTGTTTTGCTGTGTCTTGGCAGAATTGATCGCCGTTGCGAGTGTCTGGCAGTCCGTTGCGGCAGCTTTTAGGATCTGCTGCTGCTGGTATGCTGCCTGCGCATGCCTCTGTAACTGCTCCTGCTGCCAGTTCACATTGTGTAACAAGTGTCTGAGTAGGCAAGCCAATTCTGTTTTCTCCTGCTCTGCCGGTGTCGGTGCCGGTCGTGCGGCTGATGGCACAGAAGTCCACGTCGTGAGGAGTTCGCTGAAACGCTGTTCCTCATTCTGCAGGACCTGTGTGGTTGCAGCACACTGTTGCTGTTGCACTGCTTCGGCGGCTTCTCGCTGAAGATGCGCTTGGACAGCTGCCTTGTTGGCCAACCGTTGTGCTTCCGCGGCCGCCTCGTCGGCCAGCCTCTGTTGCTCAGCTGCTGCCTCTTCGACCAGTCGCTGTTGTTCAGCAGCTACAGCAGCAATCCGCTCCTGTTCGCCAGTGGCCAGGTCCATGAAGGCCTGGACGCGCTGCAAGAACACATCGGACGCCTCATCGGCGCCTTGGACCGGAAACGCTGGCAGGACCATCGTTCGCCGCCTCCTTGGTACAGTCGGTGTCGGGCGTGCTGCCGGCTGCTGCTGTCTGTTGAGAAGAGTTGCTATCAAAGGACTGCGTAGAGGAAGTATCACCGGTCGCTGACCTGCTGACATGAGTTTCTTCAGGGAACTGCAGTGACTGTAATCGGCAGTGTCCTTAGGCCATCAGCGGGAGAGGGGAACCAGGGGTGGGAACAGGGGATAGGGAACAGACAAGCATGCAGCTCCCTAATCCCAAAGTGGACTGACACTCTAATCAATAGGAAAAAAACTTTCCCCGGACAATATTTTCCAAAAACTTAACAATTTATTTATTTAATTAATAAAAATAATGCCATAAATGAATATGTCGGAAATTAGGTGTCAATCAGAGATCAGACAATGGTCCGAAAATTCGCGGACTGCAATCCCTAAGCCAAATGCTAACTCGAACTTGATTGTAGGTGAAACTTCCAGGAAGTTGCAGTTCTGCAACTGTCCGGACCTTCCAGTGTCGGGAATTCACTAGGTGGTCCCGTACGAAGTTCCCGGAGGTAAGCGAACTACAGATAAATGCAAACTGAAGAAAAAAAAAATCGCAAAATTTTCGGGATTTTCCGACCTAAAGTTCCGCAAATTTCGCGAAATTCCTGGTGGCGACCCTAAAATAACACGAATTTCCAGATTGCAACAATCGATGGTTAGCTCTCTACCAAATTACAGAAAAGGGAAAAAAAAAATTGCAACTTCGAACTTGATGACAACTGTAGATCTGACCAGGAAATAATTTTAATCAACCAATCAATCAACTTTCATTAACTGATCTATCAATTATCTTGCATTCTACTAGTCAGGACTACATCTACCTATCAATCAATCAATCAATCAATCAATAATCGATCAATCAATCACTCAATCTGTGAGCAGATCCAATCTGGTCTGCTCCGATACCAAACTGTTCCATACTAGTGAAAGTGAACACAAGTATGATGCAGAACCCAGAAACGACCAATAACAAAGCGCAATATACTGCAGCGGAAGGCTTGAAAACATAGATCTGAACTCACATCTAACTCGGACTATACACAGGCTCACACACATACATTCATCGGGTAAGAAGACCTGGCGCTACAAACATGGAAGAGAGCCTGTACACAGCATACACAGATGAATGTAGGGGGAAGAGACGAATGGAGGAGGAGGAGATGGCGCCAACACAAAGCCACTGAAATAGTAATCCCGAAATGTCGGAGATGCAGAATCTCGAAATGTCGAAGTTACAGAATCTCGAAATGCTGCTGGTGTCAGATCTCTAAATAGACCTCCCAACGTCCTACTCTGAAATAGTCTCAGTCCTGATGTCACCGATATCCCACCATCGATCTCTGTCCCATAGTAACCGAGAAGGTAGAAGGTTGGAAGAAGATGATGATGATGAAGAAGAAGAAGAAGAAGGAGAAGAACGGAGAGGGGCAGAGGAGAAGGTGGAGATAGAGAGGTGGGGCGGAGGAAGATCCTCCTGCCCGAATCCAGTGCTCAGGCACCAACCTGCAGGTGCAAGGTGCCGCCTTGGAGCTGCTGAAGACCTGCCTTCGACGCCGGAGCTATGGCGCTCACAGGTAAGTGCCAGGTAAGTCTCTACTCTCTCTCTCTCGCCTCTGCAGCTAGCGCTATGTTATGAACTTGGTTGTTTGCCGATTTCTCGCCACTCACACACAGAGTGTCTGACACACGCCCATACATATACCAGACAAGGGGGAGAGGAGACAGAGTCCAAACTGCACACAGACAAAGATAAGCAGCGGAATTCAACCATGCACGGATGAGGAGAAGACACACAGTGACTCTCACTCTCTGACAGACTCCCAACAACCAATCACAAGAAGACACCTGCGAGGATAACAATTGGAATCACACTGATGATGACCCATGGTTACCCCGGACCCGGACCCGGACAGAGCATGATGTCCGGCCGGAGCTGCGTCCGGAAAATCCCGGACAAAAAAAA